GGGGGGGGGGGGGGTCCAAAGATCGTTTTCTAGGAATATACCTAATTACAAAAATAATAATTTTAAATAAAAAACCTTTTGTTCCTGATATCAAACTATCGAAAGCATTTTTAAAATATGACAAGTTTTTGTAAGTAATAGTGATAAGTTATTGTTAAGTCAGTCTTACAAAGGAACTGAGTCTTAACAACCACAAACCCTAATTTTCTATTCCATATATCTTTTCAACCCAATATCATAGACCTTGAATATTCAAACTATTGATTCTGTTAGATCAATGTTTACACCATTAGATTTAAAATATATGGATTTTAAAGTTGAGTTTTTGGCACTGACTCAATTCTTTTATATGATACTAGCTAAAGGGCCCGGCGTTGCCCGAGGTAAAAAAATTTAATTTTTTTGTTTTTAAATTTCGAATTTTTTTAGCCTATAACACCCCCCGACCACCCATGAGTGTCCACAAAAAATTAAGCCCAATCGGTCCAGCCGTTTGGCCGGCCGGCTATACACAACATATATACGTATATGAATGTCTTTTTGAATAAAATGTCGAAATATAATCTTTATGTTCGATATAAAGAAAAGTTTAAGGTTTCGTTTGAGATTAAAAGTTGCATGTTCTGAGCCGGTACAACATTTGCTGTAGTACAGTCCAGTCTGGACACCCTAGTGTAGGGTTGACCCAGTGAATGTACGGTAAAAAAATCCTGTTTATCATTTCCTTGATAAAAGTTTGTCCGAATGCTTTGTAAAATGCAGCAATAACTTGAGTCACCATCACAACTGCAGGTTTACTTTTTAAATATCTGAACCTAGTCTGGGAGGAAATCATCATCATTGGAGATCCCTGCGGCTACCCTCAGATTTTTTATTGGAGAATCTCAGATTTTCGTTGGAGACCCCCAATTTTTTACATTCATTCAAATTGTAAATTTCAATTGTCCAATGAAAATCTGCGGGTGTCCGGCAAAAAGCTTTAGATTTCCAATGAAAATCTAGGGGCTCCAAATTCAATGAAGGGGGTCCCAGGAAAAGTTTTGGGTTCCAAATGAAAATTAGGAGTTTTCTATCAGTACTCCAATTATGATAATTCCTTCTCAAACTTTAATTTTAATATTTATCAGACATAGATCATAAAAAAGGTAAAACCTGACAAATCACGTCTTTTTGATTCAAAATTTCTTTTTAAAAAGTTTCCCTGAGAGTCTTGTTATCCACAACAAATATAACTCTTTTCTCCTAAAAAGTTAAAAGAGATTTTTTTCTAACGCAGAAACTCGAAGTTTTTTAATGATAAATTGAATGCAATCTTTTGGGGCAATAATTTTTTAATTGAAGAATCCTTTCTTTGTAAGAATTAAATCTATTAGATAATTACTTGGATACAAATGCTGTTTTTGTTCAGGATTTTTGAAAATCTTTTTGGACTATCCATAATTTGCGTTCATGCTTGCATTCATTAATTAGCTGATTAATTATGTTTTTTCTTTACTTTCTGTAGATCAACTGTAAAAGAAAGATTTTTGTCGAACATGGCTTTGCAAGAAAAGTTTTTTGAGAAAATTTTTACCTAAATGCTTCACATGGCGTCAGGTATTCTTCACTCAATTTGTGTTCTTTCCTTTTCTCTTCTGCTTCCTTCACTTTTTGTTCATCTTCCTCCTTTTCCTTCTTCCCTTGTTCTATCTCTCTTTCATCCCCGCCCTGTCTGCCGATCAAAATATTGATATAATAATCTCTTTTGTTTTCATTATTAAAGGGAACATATTCCCTTATTAGAGTATTTTTAGTGAAAACTAAATATTTCATCGATATTCATTAATTCGTAAAAATATTAAAGGTTAGGAAAGATCCTCGACAAAAGAATAAGCTATCAAACTGTTTTATTTCAGATGCAGCTAGTCGGTAGTCAGGTAATTTTTGAATCAGTTTTTCTCAAAAAAAAATAACTTTAAAAAGTTAAAATATTATTCTTGAAAACTTTGTATCCTCTTTAATTTATCCTAAAAATCCCCAAAAAGTGATTTTAGGAATTTTAATCGATTCCAATCGAGGGGCTGTTTCCTGCAAGTTAGTCACAAATAACAAATTTCACTTTGCTGGAATTATGTAAAGATAATTTGATAATTTTGCAGTCTAAACCCTGGCAGGGTTGGTTGAGTGAAAGATAGAAATGTTGTGCCAACTGTTAACATTTTCTTTATTTTAAGTAAATCTTAGCCTTTGAAGTTTTATTCTATCTGTTTAAGAAAGTGGGGGGCTTTATCATTCTATAGCACTCTGGGCCGTAGTAAATTTGAATTCGAACAGAACCTGCCAGATAACAGCGTGTACTGACCCTATCCTATGTTAACCCGGTTCCATATTCTGTACAGTACGTCACCCTAGCCAGACTAACATCCGACAGGGGTCAATTTTCTTGGCATAGTCCCGTCGGGTGGCTATAAACTATGACAACTCCCATGGCGCGTTCAGACTTTTTACAGTACCCAGCCTAATCCTAGGCCTATTTGACCGACCCCACTGGCTTAGTCCACCGTGATAGATCCGCCTTGGGGCGGGGGGATGCGGTAAGTTAATTTTTGTTAAAGGTTTTTTGGTTTATTTTAATATTTCCTATCCAACCAATCATCTGGAGGCTGGGTGATAAGCAGACAAGCAAACCAACCTAAACAAATATTTTGAAATTTTTTCATGAAAAAAGAGCTATGAAATTCCTTCAAGGTCAGAAAAATTTGGATTTTATGAATCTTTCTGTCACAATTTGGCTCGTTCGTATTTTTTTTTTGGTGGTGTGAAAAATTGAAACAAAAAGATTAAATATTTTCTGCTTATTGTGAAAACTTGTGAAATCGTATTTTATAAAAAAACTTTTGTTGCTTATTGTGAAAACTTGTGAAATCGTATTTTATAAAAAAACTTTTGTTGCTTATTGTGAAAATTTGTGAAATCGTATTTTATAAAAAAAAACTTTTGTTGTGAAAAACAAAGATGTAAAGTTTGAACTTACGCAACTGTGCAGTGACCTTGTTAAAAAAACAGAATTAATTATGCAAATAAAAAAATTTAAAACATGAACAAACAATTCTAGGATATTCAATACGTCATGCTTTTTACTCTCTTCTATAAGATGCGTTTATGGGTAAAAGTAAACACATTTTAACTTCAAAAAAATATACCGTTGTTTAAAATTAAAAACCATGAAGGTCAGAGACATTTTGACATTTAAGAAATCTTGTGTGCGGTACTCTTGGTGTGCACATTGTATGTTTCATGTGTATTGTACTAACTAAGATCATATCTTGTCAAACAGTCTTCTTCCATAATCCTATTCATGCCGTTGTCGTTGGTCCGTAAATGTGTGAAATACTTAATAAAAATATATTCAGGTAGAACATATAAACATGAATATTAACATGTTCCGGGAAAATGTCCGAATTTACCTAAACATAAATATATTCTGGAAAATTGTACAAATTTACCTAAGTATACGTACATTCCGGAAAATGTCCAATTTTACCTAAACATAAATATATTCCGGAGAGAATAAGAAGGAGATCTGGAACCCTGCTGAGTAAATCTTCATCAACAAAATATCTAAAATGATTTTTTTTTTAGTTTTTTTTCTAATCTTTAACTTCTTTAATATTTATTATTTTTTTCATTCACAAAAAAGTGGAATTAAGCGACTTCAAAATTAACTTAATATCGTTTAGTATACAGTAACATTCACAAAAAAGTGGAATTAAGCGACTTCAAAATTAACTTAATATCGTTTAGTATACAGTAACATTCACAAAAAAGTGGAATTAAGCGACTTCAAAATTAACTCAATATCGTTTAGTCACAAAAAAGTGGAATTAAGCAACTTCAAAATCGTCTCCCATAGGCAATACATTCCACTTCTATTAGAGTATCACTGTCTATGACATATATTCTATTTAAATGTTTTTTTTATTATTCAAGTAATATTTTTTCCAAAATCAATGTTTTGTGAAAAAAATATTGTTGTTTTACCCTTTATCTGGTCCATCCCTAGCCACATCCACGTTATTTGGATTCAAGATGGCCGTCTGAACAATCAATCAGTCAATCAGTTAATTAATCAATTAATCAAACGATTGATCAATCCGTTCTTCGTTTATATTAAGAATATTAAGAGTAAGAAGATATTTTTCTTTATTATATGAAAAAATAATCGTCAAGTAAATTCATTGGGATCTAGTTTCTTATGTACTTATTCGAAAAAATAGTTTATTTTAAGCAATTCGCTCCTCAGGAAAAACAAACCTACCTGTATATTATTAAAGGCAAATGCCCCACCTCCAAACCCACCTACAACCAAACCCATAGCTGTTCCCTTGTTATTTGGAAACCATTTCATTCCTGCACAATCATTTGTATTTTATAGAAATTTAGTATTATTTCCTGGATAAATTTCCGTAAAGGAAATTCGAGTTTTTGCCACAAAATACCACGGGTATTTTGGGCGGTAGAGACGTTAGTATGAATAAGGTTAAAATAAATAATAAATATGCTTACCAGTTGTTAGAGTAGGAATTAGAGCAATATTTTGACCAAACGCTGACACAAACCCGTAGGTTGCCGCTACCATCCACAATTCCTTTTAAAATTTACAGTAACACCCACCAGACATGTTAAACAGAAAGAGTTGTAGCGTAAACGTGGGTCTGTGTAACTTGTACAATTGATGGCTTTGATGTTTGTTGGACTATTTAAAAAGCATAGCTAGCCCCCCCCCCCTCCTAGAACTCAGAGCTATCACACTTTTCAAATCTTAAACTGAAGAGTGAAGACTAAAGAACAGGACAAAAATAGTTTGCTATTTATAAGTTTTAGGGGATTCCCCCCCCCCACAAAAATACAAATTATTTCAGTGCGTAACCTAATTTTCCCTTTTAAGTTCACAGTACTTAAAGGGAGTGTTCGCGAATAATGAAAAAAGCGCTTTTGATCGCTACTAATCTGATGCGTCTATAAGGAGAAAATTGTTAAAGACGTCTCATACCGAAGAACGTAGCGCCCATACAAATTGAGAAAATTTCAACATACGACTTAGATCGTAAAAAATAAATCTAATTTCAAACAAACATTCAAACATTTTAAAAACATTTTTTTTGAACATCCTATATATATGTAAGTAAAAAAAATAATGTTTGGTTTGAGTGCAACAACTTTGAACCTGGCGGTCATTTTGGTCCAGTGTGATATAGTTTATATTTTATAATTTTTTTATATATTAATCTTAATCACAACCCACGAAACTGACTCTCAATATGAACCCAAAGTCTAACTTTTGCTTTGTCGTAAAAAATGTTGAATATTTTATAATCAAATATATGATTATAAATATTATTTAAAAGAGATAAGATTTGTCTTTATTCGCCTTTGAAGTTATTTTATGATTAAAAAAAACTTTAAACAAATTTACTTTTTTGTCTTGAAACTGCACTTCAGAACAAAGCAAACAGCCCTAATTGTATTCATATTATGTACTATAGTAGATCAATTTTACAAAAATACACAAGAAGACCCATTGATTATAAAGTAGGCTTGGACATTTTTTAACCTTTGTTGTGAACCTTAAAACAAAATATTTGCAGCAAATAATGTTGCAAATATAATGCGTAACTAATATTATGTATCTGCATCGACGTATCTTTACCTTTTGAATAGTAAAATATGTGAGAGCACATCCTCCACTAAATATAAATGACCCTATCACCATACTAGCCTGAAAATAAAAAGAATGTTTTTTTGTTCATTAGGAGTAAAATTTGAAAAATGTAGGGTACTTTATCTTTATATATGTGCGAGATAGAAAATTATTATAAAATAATAAAGAAAGGAAAGATGGGAGGGGGGCGAGAGGGGGGGCATTAAAAAGTTAGCTAAAAAATTTGCTAAATTAAAAAATGTAAAATGCTTACTTTTTGACCAATAGCTTTAATAATAAAACCAGAGAACGGCATTACACACCCCTGAGTCATACCCCAGGCACTTTGCACAATTACAAAATCTAAAAATAATGATTTAATTTTCACAAATGCGTTTATTTTTTGTAAATTTTACGATCATCATTGAAAATTCAATCTTTTATTTGTCAAATTCAAATAAAAAAAACGATAATCATTAACCCCCCACCCCACGTCAAACAGTTTTCAATCATAACTTATTTAGTTGAAGAGCTCTTTAAAAGATCAAAAATGTTTTGAATTTTTAAAATGTAACCGTATTTGGGTCTCTGCCACGGACTAAAATTTTCTAATCCCTATATCTTTTCAACCTGATAATGTACATCTTTGATATTTCCAACTTAGATGATTTAATATTCATGTTTGAGATATCTAATTATATCAACTAACTTGGGTTCTTAGGATAAAAGGATTAAAAAGCAAGAGTTTGCGGAAAAGACTCAATTCCTTTGGTTTTCTCACAGGGGCGGATACAGGTGGGGGGGGGCGGGGGGGCATTCGCCAACCCCTGAAAGATTCAGGGAGGGGCGTAGCCCCCCCCCCCCCATGTATTTGGAATATGTTTTCCCAATTTTCAGAATAGCTTCTCAATAGCATGCTTAAGGGGAAAAAACCTTAATGCAAAACAGGAAAAAACATCTGTCTTAATAAACTATAATGTGTGAAAAGTTAAAAATCTATTTTTTTAGTCATTAATTTTGACGCTTTTTGAGTTTTTTAAGTCAAAAAAATTTTCGCCTGCAGCCCGATTTTTTGTTCCTAATTATGAAGATTTTTGTTCCTAAAAAATATTGCCCCCCCCCTCACTTAAATCCTGTATCCGCCCCTGTTTTCTCAGTCGTACGCGTAAAACAGAAACTAAGATTCTACGAGGTCATAAATTTGCACCAGTAATGTCGCATACATTTGACCTTGTACTTTTGTCTAGCTCAGTGCAGCCTTCTTCCTTCTTCACTGTAAAGTCAAATTTGCAAATGCATCATTTCTGGTTTGTATAACAAGTGCTTTAATTGGAATAGGGCAAATGATGCATAAATTACTATTTAGAACAGATAATTCAACTGCGTGACGGTGCAGAATAATTTCATTTAATCTACTGTTACATTTGAGTCAGGTGGAGATGGGCCCGTTCGGCTTTTTCATTCTGTTAGTTCATAAACTTGTTTGTTCTATTTACCCGTTCGTTCAGAAAAAAAATCTATCGTTTTTTCAAAACAATTTAAAAAATTTGTTACTTAAGTTTTAAAAAGTTTGTTAAAAAAATTGTGATCGTTCAGTAAAAAAGCAATTGTTTTTTCAATTGTTCGTTCGATTGAAGTAAAAATTGGTTCTTAATTTTTTCCGTTCGTTTTAAAAAAACGGTCACTTTATTTTAATTTTGCTGAACGATTCAAAGGATGATGAAGAGGGGGCGCAATTACGCCATGTCTAGTCCAAACCTAGGGAGTTAGCAGAACCTTGTCCATTGTCCAAACCCAACAATATCCTATTCGAGCTCAGTTAAAGACAATCCAAAAATCAGAATTTTTAAAAAATAAAAACGTTGCGGAATATAGACCTTTTATAGTATAACAATGAAAAATGGTGTGTTTAAACATTCTTTATTATGAGCCAACATTAAACCCTAATAATGTTGAGCTATCCAAAATCTTTAAATTGACTTCTAAGAGATAAAAAAACTGGCATTCGCTACTACTATTATTACTATTTACGCAATACAATTGTCAAAGTCTTTGCATGTGTCTTTGCAACCTGATGGTGAAAAACTTTCATACTTAAATCTTTGACCATTGATCAAGCAGAATTCATTTTTTTGAAATAGTAATGGTCTACAATGTCAGTTTGCAAAGATTTAAGGGTTAGTAGATTAAAACTTGAGGACAAAAATTATTTCCTTTAATTCCTTTAATTCCTGAAATGCAAAAGCTAAACCCTTTCCCATCAAACATCTCGAGCTTAGTGATTAAATAACTAACCTGTATACGTTATATTTGGGGAACCATTTTGTCTCATGTAGGACGTCATATATGTACTCAGGTTCCCAAACGAATAGAACGCTCCCATTGTAAACTACAAGTAATAAATTTCTGACGTCATGTAATCATGTAAATTCTTAGAATTTACGAGGAAGTATACAAGAGCGCTTCTTCTATGCATGTGTTTACCTTTATTGTAAACCAAAACTGAGAATAATTAGTTTTAAAAATTATAAACATTGTTATCGAATTCATACTTGATCAAACAAAGCTTTAATAAGGAACCGTTGTGCATCGAACATTGCCATTTTTGCTTGAAGGGTACCTTAAATGTGCGGGCAGTGCAGTCCCTTTAAATAGAAAAAAATTAATATTTTTAATATTTAAACCTGCAGTAGAAATCCGCCGAATACAGCTGCATATCCTCCCCATGGTCTTCTGCTTCCATCTTGTCCCCCACAAGGGATTGAAAACCGCATTTATTTTCTAAAATAATCTTTTTTAACTAAACAGTTGAAGGCATTTAATCCATTTTTATATGTTTAGCTATATATTAGTGATACAAATGAAATAAGTAAAATATGCGTTTTAGAAAATAAAAAAATGTACGCAATTTTTCACAATTGTGGTTTAATGTTTAATCTGACATTTCCCAAAATTCCTTTTTATATTAATTCAAAATAAGTATTATTAAATTAATATTTGATTATGTTTTTCTTTGAAATTTTATAGTGCATTGATTCTTAAACATTTAAGTATTTTATTATTATATGAATAGTAAGCAAAAAACAACTCCTGACAACTCTGGTAGCATTTAATAGTCTCAAATTTTGATTTTCAACTTTTAATTCTGGATTTTTTTTACAGCTTTGATCCAACGCATTGTTTCTGTTAAAATGAGCAGCAATTATATAATCGGAAATATGCCTTTTTACAATTTCGTTCAGTCATGTCTGTAGTTATCATTTTACCTTTTAAATGTTGTATTTTTTCTTTGTACAATTTTAAATAAATGAAGAATTACGCAGATTTTCCTGTTTTTTTATTTGCAAAATTTTTCAATGTTAAAAATTCCAACTATTTGCACATACAGCTTTACGCATAAAATGAATTTATCTAGAAAACAAAGCAATTAGCTCATAAATATATATATGTTAGCTATAATTGGCCAAACGGCTGGATCAAATTGGTTGATTTTTTTAAACCCACGGCCGGTTAACATAGGCTCAAAAATTTAGATTTGATTTTTTTCGAAATTTAGTGTTTTTTTCAAATTCTAAATTTTGTTTTCAATAGTTTTAAAATTCCAGGGGCAACGTCGGGCACTTCAACTAGTATAGTCATAAGTCAAAGAAAAGGGTTATTAGGGGTTATTGATCTTTTAATTCATTTGAAATTTAATTTTTGTGTCCCTGAATTTACATTCCAGAAAATTGATTAAATAAACACAATTGGTCATAGTCCAACTTTTTTAAATAGGAGGAGCGTCTTAGCAGTATTATATTTAACCCAATTTATAACAGAAACATGGATATAAAAGTATAAGAAATACATCAAAGCTAAAAAAATCATTTTGAAAAATTCAGATATAAAAATCATAAAAACCAAAAACTAAGCGGGTAATGTGTAGTTTCTTGAAAACTATTAATGTGATTCCCGCAGCCAAAATGTGAGTTGTGAATAAAGGATAGAGCTTAAAGATCATGGTCTAGATTCGATAAGTATAAAAAGAAATTATCACTTTTAAATTCAATTATATGCAAACTATACAAAAAATACCTGAAAATTTTATAAAAATCTTGCAGTTTTTTTTTACTAACATCGCTTAAATTAGGAATAACTTTTATATTAACACTAAATATGCTTAATATAACGCTAGTCTTTCTACACTAAGAATATTTATTGCCACCTGTACGTGAAAAATGTTATCATAGATGACAAAATAAACAGATAGGACAAGATACATTTAATCATAAATTACAAAACAAACAGATCGGACAAGACAAACTTAATCATAGATGACAAAATAAACAGATGGGACAAGAAAAACTTAATCATAGATGGCAAAATAAAAAGATGGGATAAGACAAATTTAATCCTAAATGACAAAATAAACAAATCGGTCAAGACAAACATAATCCTAGATGGCAATTTAAACAGGTGGAAAAAGACAAATTTAATCATAGATGACAAAATAAGCAGATCGGTCGAGACACATTTAATCATAAATTACAAAACAAACAGATCGGACAAGACAAACTTAATCATAGATGACAAAATAAACAGATGGGACAAGAAAAAATTAATCGTAGATGGCAAAATAAAAAGTTGGGATAAGACAAATTTAATCCTAAATGACAAAATAAACAGATCGGACAAGACAAACAAAATCCTAAATGTCAATTTAAACAGGTGGGAAAAGACAAATTTTATCATAGATGACAAAGTAAACAGATCGGACAAGTCAAATTTAATCATAGATGACAAAATAAACAGACGGGAGAAGACAAAATAAATCATAGATGACAAAATAAATAGATCGGACAAGACAAATTCAATAGATAAGAAAATGAACGGTTTAATAAATAAATTGAAACAAAAATTGATACAGATATAATAAGATCTTATAAGACCGATTCAAAAGATGAAAGCAGATCTAACAAGACCGATTCAATAGATAACAGCAGATCTAATAAGACCGATTTAATTTCTAAAAACAGATCTGATAAGACCGATTCAATGGAATAAAACAGATCTAATCAGACTGATTCAATAGGAAAAAAAACAGTTCTGATCAGACCAATTCTGATCAGAGCGATTAAATAGAATAAAACTGATCTATGACCGAGATAAAGGAAAACACAGAATTGTAATAAGTAATCAGGTCAATTCAATAAATGCAAAGGAAAAGGTTCAAATCGAATATGAAAAATATGGCTTTGCAAAGATTTCGATATCATGAAATATAGATGAATCAGTTTAAAAAAAGAACATTAACAGTTTTGGTAAATCTAACCTGTAAGGCCAAAAATAATGCTTTTTACGTCTAATTTAAGAAGCTGTAAACCTAATTTCAAGCGAACCTCAATTTAAATCGTTAATTGCTCAATTCACAACGTTGAACGATACGTACCCTTTTGCCCTCATTAGATTATCGAACTTTTTAAAATATATAAATTCCCACCCATCCTTTGCAGTCTATGCTGCATAAATACGTGAGTAATTCTTAAAAAGAACCGCAATCGAAAATATATTTTAAGAACCCCTTTAATTCTACAAAGTGGTATTTATTGTAAATCGGGCATGCGAGTCTTCAAGTTAAGAGTCACTTAAAATTAACAGTTAATAAAGAGGATTACATAAATTTACATTTATGTAAAATTTGTATATATAAGTATATAGATATGTATATATAATATATATATATTATGTTGACCAGTTAGAATCCTTATATCAACTGTGTCATGCCGTAAAGGTTGGATAACAATAGGTTCTACAGGGTGTCCAAAATTCGGGGAGATATATAACAGGGTGGCCGAGCAAAATACTAATATTATCCTATTTCACTGTACGTATAGTTTGAATTCTTTGCAGTCGTCTCAGGTTATAAAGAAACAGGGCGGCTATATAATCACAAATATTAACTCCTAAAACAGTTTTTAGAAAACATTTAGCAAGGAAAACAATAAGACGTATTATAGATGATGAAGAATTTGATTTTTCCATGTGACACCCTGTACTTGCTAACACTGGACAATATATTCATATGTAGTCCTTGCATACCTAAACAGATACCTTTATACTCATATAAGGATATTCTAGAGTATACAAAGGGTGAGTTTAGGCCCTGCAGAAGAGGGGAGGGGGGGGGGCAAAAGGGGCCCCGGGAGGAGAAGGAGAAATGGGGGAGAACAGAGGAAGAACAGAGTTGGTGTGGGGAATGCACAAGGACACGAATATAGAAAATAAACCAAAAAATTGGTTACCAAGCAATTTACATGTTCTTGTGAATTTCTTTTGACAAAAAAAAAACAGCATTTGGATTTGGAACTAGTGACTAGGTATACTAGGTACAAGGGATAAGGGACCGGGACCATAGGGACTGAAACAATAGGAACAAGGGATACAGAACTATAAGGAGTAGGGACTAGGACAAGGGGACAAGGAACTAGTACAAATAGACAAGAGACTAGGAGCATTATAAGGGCTTTATTTTTTGGTTACTTAAATTTGAATTCAATTTGTTCTATAATTCATTAATTTTTAAACTTTTACAGTTTAGCTTCTTTTTTCATTTCAATATAATCCGTATAAAAGATAAAAAGCGGACATTTTTTGCATTAACTAGTCGGTCAAATTGTTATCGAAAAGTCACAACTTGCTGGGACAAGGACCGACAAGGGACATTCGGGACTGGTAATAGAGTGCTTCACAATTTCTATATATCTATATGACTTTAATAATAGTTTGGTCACTATTCTGTATAGCCCCCACCTTGCCACTCTTTTAGACTGCAGGAAGGGTTAACTTTTAATAGAATATACAAGTTGGTAACAAGGGCGGAATACTGGGGAGGGCCGGGCCCACGAGCCCCACCCTGTGCTCCTTAAGGAAATTTATGATCAGAAATAAAACATCAAGGGATGAAAGACACAACGAAAATATATTTGAATAAATGACCTGAAATACACATTCAAATTTGTTCTCATCCTATTATTTACACAAATATATGCCTGTAAAATTACAGACAGAAAGTGTGAGAGCTGGAGTTTACAGATAGAAAGTAGGATAGAACTAGATTTTACAGAAAGAAAGTAGGATAGAAATAGATTTTACAGATAGAAAGTTGGAGAACTAAAGTTTACAGATAGAAAGTAGGAGAACTAAAGTTTCCAGATAGAAAGTAGGAGAACTGGAGTTTACAGATAGAAAGTAGGAGAACTGGAGTTTTCAGATAGAAAGTAGGAGAACTGGAGTTTACAGATAGAAAGTAGGAGAACTAAAGTTTACAGATTGAAAGTTGGAGAACTGGAGTTTAAAGATAGAAATTGGAAGAACTCGAGTTTACAGATATAAAGTAGGAGAACTAGAGTGTACAAGAAAGATAGGAGATAACTAGATTTTACAGATAGAAAGTGGGAGAACTGGAGTTTAAAGATAGAAAGTTGGAGAACTGGAGTTTGTAAACTTATATTTTTTGACCAGGTAAGAAATAGGAATTTACTGCTTTTAATTCAATTTTTAAGGGGGGCCATGCAGGGGGGGGGGGGGTCCAAACATTTTTTTACGCTTTTGCGTGAAATTATAGGCCCCCCTTGAGATAATGGTTCAGTCCGCCCCTGGCTTTTGACGTTTATTGGATTTTATAACAGATCTTTAAATATTCTTCTTCAGAGTGAAAGGGGGTTCCAGATCCATGCAAGCAAATATATATTTGGAGTAAGAAGTAACCATCTACTTTATACTTTTTAATGTATTTGACCGAATTTAATGAATTTGAGCTGGATCGCTGAACTATCTGCCGTTGGTTCAAAGTTAAAAATTCATGAGCATTTTAGTTCATGATTAAGGATTTTAATCGGCGTTAGGTTGTGTTCAGGAACTTCCCCAATACGCGGTCCCGGTATAAATCTTAGTCATTAGTTTTCCATTTCGTTTTCTAAATGCAATGCCTATTTAGACTAGCTCCAGATGTCTGAGACGTTTTAATTTATTTTTAAAAGGTTTTTGTTGTATGAGGAAGTAAAACATGCATTGACTGAGATAATACAAGTTCTAAACAAGTTTATTTACGAAGAATTTTCTCAATCCAATTTTAAAAACCGGCAAATCTTGAATCTTATTAAAGCTTTCGGTCTCACATGATGACGAAACAATATTTACTTTTATAAAGAAAAAGTGCGCAAAAATATTGGTGTTAAAAAAAGAGAAAAGATGTGCTCATGCATTTTGAAAATCCGTGTAGACAACCAGGAGCATGGGTCTTAATAAAATGAATTTATCAATGACAGGAACACAATGGTAGTGAATCTAAAACATCGAAAATAAGGTTTTGTGAAACGGGCAGATGAACAAAATTTAGATATAGAAATGGGTTAAATCGTTTTTTGATTTTGTCCTTTCGTTTCGGTGTTACTAAGGGTAAGTTTGAGAAACATTGTATCCCTAAAAAATATGACAATTTTAAGACCATCAATGTTTTGATATTGAGTACATGCGTACAAAAACAGCTTTCGTAACCAAATCTTTTTTTACGCATGTAAGAGACAAGAGACCAAATATGAAGGTTCAAATCTCAGGTTCCTAAAAATACATAATCGAAGCAATAAAAACATTTAAAATGATAAACATAAAGCAATCTTTATGGTAGGTATTTTTAAAATGATTAATGATTAAATGAAATATAATATTTTTCTTTATAAGGAGGTGTTAGAAATGTCCAGAATTTATCAAGCCTAAAATGGTCTCTAGTTTACTGGAACACCCTGTATTGTACGCGCGCAAGACAGAGCAAATTATGAGGGACACAATTTGTAGTGACATGAAAACAAATAAAATAAAATAAAGAAAGTAAAAACACAGATATGTCAGCAAAAATCTTTTAAGTCGATACTTTAATATTGATTCTGTTTATATATAACGTCTGTTGTTGTATATGGTTCACTCTTTATAAAAAAAAGTTGGAATTTCTTTTATACTCGTGACTTCACGCTATACGAGATAAATGAACAAATTCATGCGACATTATTATGGGTACGAATTTGTGATCTCTTGTTTTAATTTTGCGCACAAGTAGAGCGAAATAAATGCAGTTGGTTACATTTTTAAAATGTAGAAAATAAAAGCTTTTTCAATCAGGGAAGTTTTGGTTGAAATCATAGTTTTCGATCTAACATGAAAGGAATTGAGTCTTTGCCACAAACTCTGATTTTCTAATCACTATATCTTTGGAACCAAATGTTGCAGACCTTAGATATTTATATATTTCAAACTATGAATTATGTTAGATCAAATAATCTAAGTTTGAAATATCAAAGTTTTACAAAATCGAGTTCTAAAGATTTTGTGGTTTAAATATTTGATTTTGTTCCAAAGACTCAATTCCTTTGTCGTGACTTAAAGGGACTGTAAAGGCTGAATGCTAATCACTTTAGCTCTTGATCGCGACCCATGAAAATTCTATCTGATGTTCCTGTCTCGAGGATTTGATATAAAACTGTGTTAAATTTGGCACCAAAAATTTAAGTAAGGTAGATACATTAAACGATTAAAACATACCAACGGTCCGATTAGTTTTTAGATAAATTTTTTTAATTATCTTACTTATATTTAACATAATTTAATTATTTCAAGTACCAGTCCAAATCTTAGAGCTAGAACAAGCTGTACAGTACTGTACATTTAGACAAAATGTTGTGTAGTACACCAATTATCTCCCTCTAGCTAAGTTTTGAATTTGTGAATTGTAAAGCTGCAGATTTTTTCAAAGGAACTGGTTGTTGCTGCAAACTCAAATTTTCTAATCCCTATTTCTTTAAAACCTGATGGTTTAAACCTTTCATATTTCAAACTTAGGCTTTCATTGTTCATATAATTCATAGTTTTAAATATCAAAGCTCTTCGACATCGGGTTGCACAAATGTAGGGATTATATTTTTGAGTTTGTGGCAAAAACTCATTTTTCTTTCAACGGAACCAAGACCTTTACAAGCATGCATAACTTCTATTATATAAAAATCCCTGCAGGTATGTCCCCCCCCCCCCGGCATGTGTCCAAGGCTGTAAGATCCCAGGAAGGACAGCTCTATGGTAATTGAATCAAGTCAGAGTACAGTTATTCTTAAGATAAGAAACTGCATAATGCATATTTTGCAATGTTTTATTTTTCTTCTGAATTGGGCATGGAGGGGGGGATAGACAAACTCTCACAGTGTCTTAACTTAACCTAACCCGTGGCCGCAGCGCTCGGCCCCCTTTCCTGTCCTGTCCTAAATACTAATTTAATTGAAATCTGTTGAAAAAGTGGAGAATTTTAAGAAAACGCGGCATTTGAGAAAATCTTAGGAGTTTTTTCTATCCCCCCCCCTCCGCACCGCTACGTCCCATGCCACTGAATTGTATTGTATTTATGGGTTTACAGATGTGCACTGTTAGAACTGTTTAAAATTGTATCGCACTATTAAGTGATGCTTTTAAAGGGAGTGTTTGCGAAAGGGGAAAATGGCTGATATCGACTAAATTCGATACTTTTTTCTGTTGCGTAAAATTTGGAGAAAATGTTTTAAAACGCTATTGTGTATAGGAAGTTTTTATATTTGTTGCTGCAGGTGCAAAAAGTTTTTATATTTGTTGCTGCAGGTGCAAAAAGTTTTTATATTTGTTGCTGCAGGTGCAAAAAGTTTTTATATTTGTTGCTGCAGGTGCAAAAAGAATTTGACATTTCGACGAAATAGTTTAACACTTAGTTTCAGGAAAAATTATTAGATATTGAACAAAATTTTTATTTTAATGATTTCACCAATTGTTTTCATTTTTCATTTTAGCATTGTATATAATTCAATGGGTCGTTAAACGCTAACATTCGCTTTGTAAACTCGATAAAAAATTATCGAATTTCGGTTAATTCGGTGAATTATTTTTTCGCGACATAAAATGTCCGAATAACTTTTCACAGTAACGTGAAATATTGGACTATGAAGTTGATCCTCTTGGAATGAAAATATCTTGATTGTAACGAACTATAAATTGTTAAAACAAAATAATTATACCATTTAATTCTAAAAACTTAATATTTCAATTTGTTTGCTTAAAAGTTAAGCCTAAAAACTCTGATTCCGTGTAGTATAATTTAAGTTTGAATGCCATTATATTAGTTTAGTAAATGCCAAAAATATAAATTTGATTGTTAACTTATTTCGGAATTTAAATTACGATTACTTGGTAGCATTTATAATTTTTAATATTTAATTTAAAACGAAATGTTTTCGACATAAAACTATTAGTAAACGTTACACTTACCTCCCAAAAATTATGATGTACGCCCCCCCCCCCCCTCCAACGGTAAAATAGCAACAGTTTGCTTGGGCTTCAGATTATTTTGCATCATAAACTTGGCCATTAATACCCTCTATTTAAATCTGAATTAATTAGGAAAAGTGTTAAACTTTGAAAAAGTAAAAATTCTTGAAATTGGAATACAATATCACTAAAAATTAATTGATTTTTACGAATGATCGTGTAAAGGAAATGAGTATTTGCAACAAACTCTGACTTTCTAATTCTATAACTTAGTAACCCATTCTCCTGGACCTTTGATATATTAGATCAGATATTCTAAGTTTGAAATATCAAAGATTTACACCATCAGGTTGCGAAGCTATAGGGGTTAGAAAATGTCAGTTTGTTGCAAAAACTCAATTTCTTTGGATTATCTTCAATTTACAAAGGGACATCCTCGATTCACAACGGTACCCTTGAAACCTATATTTGATAAAGAATGTGGAAGATTTCATCGGGTTTTTTTAAGAATTAAACGTGCTTCATTAAGTTAATTTCATTGTTTACCTGCAGCAGAAATGCGTAATTGTCCTTTTTGTAAAGAAATCACAATTGAGAATTATCAGTTATCAAAACTAAAAAGATGAATATCTAATTCATGCAAGATCAAAAAAGCTTTAAAGGTACCGTTTAAAATCGGACATGACAGTTAAATTACGTCCACAGACCCTTTCAGAAAATGTCACAATGCAAAAATCCTCACTTCCAAGCAAATAACTTCAGCGCTTCTCACGAAACCATTTTATTCGTGGTATTTGTTATCTAAAAATAATTATTATACAAATTAGAAATAAATTAAAAGTTATTATAAAACGGTATATATCCACAAATAGGGTAGTCATGGTTGTTTTTAAAAACTACCGAAAAAAATGTTTTTGTGAGTTGATGGGAAGAACCATCAAGTAATCGTCCGTAATTAACCCTATCCCGGTTGGGGATGGCCCCCCCCCCTCGCTGCAGATTTTTTTTGCAGATTCTAAAAGTAGAGCATAAGACTTTTCCTATGATGTATCATTTGTTATATTTAGACATCAAATATGGTATTGTATCCTGGTTTTCAAGTACCCCAGAGGGATAATGTTAACGTATAAAGAATATATATTATTTTAAACAATTTAAAGTATATTCGATTTTTATTCAATTAAATTATATCTTTCTGAAAATATATTTTTAGGAAAAGAGTGCAAAATAATGAATAATTTATAAAGAAAATGCAATCTATTTACATCAATTTGATTATTATATTGCTTTCTCCTAACGTCCTGACTTCAGTCTTCACTTGTCTTTCCTAACATCAGGGTCTAAGTCTGGAAAAGTACTTTTATAAAATTATTTGTAAAGGAACTGAGTTCTTGCCACAAACTCTGATTTTCTATGTCTTTATCTTTGCAATCTCATTTTGTAGCCCTTTGATATTTTAATCTATGAATTTTGTGAGATTAAATAGTATATTAGTTAAATAGTATTTGCCCCATTAGGTTGCAAAGTTATAGGGACTAGATAGTTTGAAGTTCTGGAAACCCTTATTTGCCAAAATGCAACATATAGTTAGAAATAAAGACAATGGTTTCGAAAACAAATTTTTCAAAAAGTATGGTGGAAATATGCTTAAATTAATACTTAGGAAATATTTTTTAACTTGCAAGTTGCAGCATATTTATAAAGCTTTACAAAGTATATTTTTGCAAGGGCTTTTTTAATCTTTAAAAGGTTAAGGAATGTTTTAGATTTTTTAAATTTTCACTTGCTGGGATCTTCCAGTACCCAACTCCGTCTAGTACCCAACTCCGTCTAGTACCCAACTCCGTCCAGTACCCAACTCCATCCAATACCCAACTCCGTTCAGTACCCAACTCCATCCAGTAACCAACTCCATCTAGTACCCAACTCCGTCCAGTATCTAACTCCGTCCAGTACCCAACTCCTTCTAGTTCCCAACTCCGTTCAGTACCCAACTTCGTCCAGTACCCAACTCCGTCCAGTACCCAACTCCGTCTAGTACCCAACTCCTTTCAGTACCCAACTCCGTCCAGTACCCAACTCCATTCAATACCAAACTCCGTCCAGTACCCAACTCCATCAATCCAGTACCCAACTCCGTCCAGTACCCAACTCCGTCCAGTACCCAACTCCGTCCAGTACCCAATTCCGTCCAGTACCCAACTCCATCGATCCAGTACCCAACTCCATCAATCCAGTACCCAACTCCATCTAGTACCGAACTCCGTCCAGTACCCAATTCCGTTCAGTACCCAACTCAATCAATCCAGTACCCAACTCTGTCCAGTACCCAACTCCATCAATCCAGTACCCAACTCCGTCCAGTACCCAACTCCGTCCAGTACCCAACTCCGTCCAGTACCCAACTCCGTCTAGTACCCAACTCCGTCTAATACCCAACTCCGTGCAGTACCCAACTCCGTCCAGTACCCTACTCCGTCCAGTACCCAACTCCGTCCAGTACCCAGGATTCACAATAAATTACTGAAAGAACTGAGATTTTGCCGCAAACTCTCATGTTCCATTCCCTTTTGTCCTTGCAGCACAATTTGTCGTAGACCTTTGATATTTAAAACTTAGAATTCTTTTAGTTCAAATCAAAGATTTACAGGTTGCAAAGATACAAGGATTTGGACATTTTAGTTTGTGGCAAAAACTCAGTTCCTGTGTGTTCCCAATAATATGGGTGGAAAGGTAGAGAAGGTTAAACGTTTACACTCATCCCGTTCATCTGGTATTACAAAAAGAAGAATTAGTGTTTAATTGTATTTAAATATTTTACTACAAATTGAAAACTTATCTGAAAAAAGGTTGTGGTTTTGATTTGTAAAGATAGGGTTCTAATATAATTTAACCCTATCACGATTGGGGGGAAGGTGTTCTCCGCCCCCCAACCTCTGTAGTGTCTCTAAGTAGTATAATACGGCTTACACTAGAAGGGTAAAACTTTTTCATTTTTTCAACTTCAAAGTTGTGAACAAGTTTTTTCAAACATTTTTTTTAATGCTGCATAGGGTAGGTTGGAAAACAGTCAAAAGGCGGATCGGTGTTTAAAAATGATCAGAAATGATGAATAACTTTTGTATTAATTAAGCTACAGGGCTAAAATTTATATATTTAAAAAGCCCTTGAAAAATAGATGTACTGACATTTATCACATGTTAATATTTGTCATAAGTAAAAATATTAATTTTTCAAGTACTTTTTGAACTTTTTTAAAATCCTCTATTTAAGACAAAATTTGTCTAATCGGGATAGGGTTGACATAAAAGTGACAAAAAAAGAAATTTATTGCATTGAAAAAATGAAAAACAAGAGGTCAACTTAGATGGAAAACCTCTTATTTCAATTAAGGTGTCGATTTAAAAAGTTGTATATTTCTAGGGTTTGCAGAACAATGATGTCGTTTATAGATGTGATGCAATTTCTTCTAATAATTGGAACAGTCACTTCAGATCAAGAAACAGAGTTGAAAAGAGTGAATGCACCATCAGTCGACGTTTACTCGTCAAATTTGAGTAAAATTATATCCTACCTAACCACTACTATGTAAAATTTATTAGCTTAATAATAATTTTTTGTTTGAGTATGGTTAATCTTGAATGCTTCATCTCGATATTCAACGCAAACAATATTAAATTTGAGAAAATTAAATTTTAAAATTGAGAGAATTAAATTAATCCTTAGGTCAAAGCGTGATCTCAAAATTCACAAAATAAAAGTTTTTAATTCTGATCATATTCTCAACTATATGAATTTTGAAACCCATCTTTTTCACGTCCGTGAACTATGACCTTTAGATGGATTTATTATACTCTGTTTATTTTTTCCGAATATTTTTTACCTCCAAAAGTTTACTTTTTTTAAGTTGACGATTGTTTCTTTAGGTTTCGGTTGTTTAAGAATTGTTGCTCGTTACTTATTTGATCGTAATTATGTGAACGGTCGATCGTTAGAGATGGTTATTGAGGGTTGATTGTTAAGAGTGTCCATTTATAGAATACCGAAATTTTAGAACATGCTCTTGTTAACTTAATTGTGATGGTTTTTAATGAGATTTTTTTTATCTAAAAACTGTTTTTTTCATGTTAGTTAATTTAAGATAGTTCCATTTTCTCAAAAAAGTTCTATTCAACTGATTTCAATAGTATCCCAACGATATAATTTTTAACAAGAAACCCGGTGTTTGTTAATTGCAAACATGTCCGTCTGTCATTAACGGCGCGCGGCGCCCCGTCCCATTCTCAACAGTTATAAGTCAGTTTGTTGTTCAGGATGAAGAGCAAGGATTGCATTGAGATATATGAAAGGTAAAAATGATCAACATTAATAAATACAACAACAAAATTATTTTGATCAAAGAACTTGTACTTCACACATTTTAATTGAATTAGTGGCAGAATTGGTTCACAAAACGTTATTCAGTGGCGTAACCAGAGGGGGGGGGCTATGGAGGCTCAGCCCCCCCAGGACCAATTAAATCTATGATTTGCAAGTTTTTTTTGGCCCCAATAGAGAATGAGCCAACCCTGGACAGAAAAAAATGCAACCCCCCCCTGGAAAAATTCCTGAAAACACCCCTTAGACGTATATCTTCGTAATGTGCTCTTAAGTAGCTCCTCTAGTTTGAATTTAGTTATATATATTTATAGAAATTTAAAACATTTAAAACATATTCAATAGCTTCTCGATCACAAAGTTATCTTGTTAAATTCATTTAAAATTTCAATCTTTCGAACAGTTTTATACTTTAGTTTGACATCTCTAGAAATACAGCTGTAATTGCATTAAGAATGAAAAAAGATTCAATGACCCAATTTTATTTTTATCTTTCGAAGGATGCAAATATAAAGGATCTGAGTCTTTGCAACAAACTCAAATTTTCCAATCCCAATATATCGAACCTGATGGTGTACATCAAATATTTCAAACTTAGATTATAAGCTCTAGCAGAATTAATAGTTTGAAAATATAGGAACCAGAAAATTTAAGTTTCTGGAAACGGCTTAATTTATTTGTTTTTAAGAAAAGTAATAAATTTTGAAATATTTCCAAAATGTGGTATATATTCAGATATTTATATAAATGATTAAATGATACTATTTAGTAAGCAAACTTTTAAAAACCATAAAGTGTGATAATGACTACAATATTTTGAAAAAGAAACTCTAACAATTTTTTTAAAATGTTTATTTGTGTGCTTTCAGGGTGGGATCTATTGCTCCTAATGGCAACCAGAAAGTACATGTAGATGACCTGGAGAATGTTGAAGACCAAATCACTCTAAATACAAAATGTTATATTCTTATTACAGATAAGGCAAGATAATGTTAAGGAGGTTATGGTTAAAACTTCAGTGCAAACTATAATAACTCTTGAATATGAAGACGACTATTATACTTAAGTTACGATTTTGAACAGTCCATTATACTCGAAAAATGTCCAGTGTAGAGGATGAAATCCCAAAAGAAGATTATGTAATCCGCAAATCAGTTGCGTCGGATCCTGGAACCGGAGAAGAACTTCTCAACTTCCTCTCCTTTTATACACGCTTTTTTTAATATGAATTTATATCTAGAAGCAATAAATGTACTTCTAAAGTGGTGACCCCAGACAACAAACGAACCATGGTCGAAAACACAGACTCCTGGTTGGAAACAGCGCAAGAATTGAAGGAGGATGACAATCTCAAGCTTGAACTTCTTATTCACAAATTCACTATTTCTTCAACCTACATTAGCTATAACTCTTGGAGCTAATAATCTGAACCTGAGGTACTCCTGGAGCTAATAAGCTAAACCTTAGCTACTCCTGGAGCTAATAAGCTAAACCTCAGCTACTCCTGGAGCTAAAAAGCCAACCTCTGCTACTTCTGTAGCTAATAAGCTAAACCTCGGCTACTCCTGGAGCTAATAAACTAAACCTAAGCTACTCCTGGAGCTTATAAGCTAAACCTCGGCTACTCCTGGAGCTAATAAGCAAACTTCAGCTTCTCCTGGTCTGCCTGGAGCTAGTAAGCTACACTTCAACCCTCCAGAAGCTAATTAGCTACACAGCTACTCCTGGAGCTAATCAGCTACACAGCTACTCCCGGAGATAATCAGCTAAACAACTACTTCTGGAGCTATCAAGCAGCTCAGGTTCTTTAACCTACTCGTAGATATTCTGGACGCCAGTTCTCTACAGGTTACATCTATGCCCGCCTTCAATACAACTGATCTCTTCACATGGCCACTGGCCAGCCTTACTTAAGGTTGATCATGAATTGGTGAGGGGGCAGATTAAAAATTCACAAACAACTAGTTGTTAACAATGATCAATCATCACCAGAACTCCTTCTACTCCTTTTCCGTAAGCAATTACAAGGAGATAAGTATCAGTCTTGACTCCCTCTATGCTCGACACAGCTTAGCTGGGACTTCTTTAGAGGATGAAATCCTCGAAAGAGAATTATGAAATCCGCAAATCAGATCCTGGAACCAGAGAAAACCTTAACTTTTTATACACTTGTTATTTGATATGTATTTATATCTAAAAGCAAAAAATGTACTTCTAAAGCAGTGTATTTAGGGTTTACACGCGATTCGTTGCAGTAAATTTTGCGCAGTGATTTTTTTTGCATGTTGCGTTAAACAATTCGCAATAAATATTGCAAAATTTTGCGAAATGAAACCAAGCGCAATATTGCGCAAAAAAATAACTTTTTTTTTTACTTATCATTGCGTTTATTGTAATTAACAATTTGCGGTTTTGCGCGCAAAAAACCAAGCGCAATATTGCGCAAAGACATGATTTAGAGAAGCAGTAGATAACAAAAAAGCTCTATATAATTCCATACATTAAAGGAATTGACTTTCTGCAACAAAACTCAAATTTTCTAATTCTTATATCTTTACAACCTGATGTAGTAAACCATTGATATTTCAAACAATATACTATGTATATGATCTAACAGAATTCATAGTTTGAATTAGAAAGAAAAACAGGAATTAAGCATAGGATATAATATATTTTTTAAATAATGTGAATAGAAGGTTACTGATCGGCATGAATGTTTTTTGAAGAAAGAGTGGCCTAAACTGAAATTATCCAAACTTTGTTTTTTAGTCATATCAAATCAGATAAGGATCCTTTACTGTACTCATCACATTCTTGTTCCATTTTCTTTCCCTTTCATTCTACTCCATTTGTTATTTCTTTTCATACTTTTTTATTCTGTCCATACTCTCTCTGTATGTTTATATTTCCTTCTCTTTCACTCGTGTAAAGTGGTTTCTAGGATTATTTTCTACAGTACCATGTTTACTTGTCTTATGTTTATGCATTTTAAAAAATCATTTAATAGTTTCTTTCAGAGATTAAAATAAAAAGGGATTTTTATGTTATGAAAATTCCAGGGGGGACAGGGGCCAATTAGGAATATGTCCGAGGGAAGGGTGGGTAATTAATCGTTTTTCTTTCCAGGGGGCTCAGCACGCGCGCGTTGGCACCCAGAAAACCTATGGAAACCTATTTCACTGTTCCAGGGTCGGGGGGGACCCCATTGCTCTCCTTAATACGCCTCTAAATGGAGAAAATTGGATAGAGAAATTGTCACTATCTAATAAAAAAAAATTTACATCTTGTTTATATATTTGCTTTATATCTAATTATTACTTTCAATGGTCAACTTATTCACCGATGTTAGTTTTGTCTTTAAGAAAGCCGAACATAGGATAGTGTAAATGTAAATGACGCTGTATTTATAGATGGATTTGAACCTATGGTAACGCTTCTAAGAAATTACCTGACGACATGGGGGGCGGGATGGGGCCATGGGGTTTTCTCTAGAATATTGAAAAGTACCAATGCGCAATAACGCAAAATCGCAATAAAGCAATAGCGCAAAATTCATATTCGCAATGGCAACTTTTCGCATAATATATATTGCGACTCAACGTGCAAAAATGTCAATATTACGCTTAACCCTAATGCGCTAAAAGAAGCAACCATTGCGCATCGTTGCGCGCCATGCTTTTGCAATTGGAAACTCTTTTACTCAAAAAGTTGATTTCCAAGCTACATGAATACCTTTTGCTGCATCACAATATCGAATAAATAAAATAATGGCTGCCTATTCCAAATTTCCAAAAAATGTTCACTGAAAGAGAATTGAACAACTTTAAACAAATTCACATAGTCTTCAACTTGGTTTGCATAATCATCTATTCCGGCTAAATTTCATAATTTCCCACGACAACAGCCGTAAAAATTGCAAAACTGATGTAACGTTTGTAAAATTAAGTGTGGAACCTTCTTCAACCAAACTAAGCATCATTTAACTATGAAAAACTTAAATAGAAGTAGTGGCGGTATTGCAGGATCAATTCAAAGGAATATATGAGGCCGGTCGTTCCGTAACTTTTTTCGTCATGTTACAGCGAATGCTCATTCTGGACTAACCGTAGATAGAGTACTTTCGGTTTCTGCAAAATGAATTCAAGCTATTTTTGAGATATATTTAAACATCTGCAAACTCTCATTAAAAACGAACACGACAGCATTTAAAAGTATGGGCAAAAATTGAAATTATGATATCAATTCTAAGCTTGTAAGCACCGAACTAATAAATCAGTTTGTACTGTGGAGCGCGCTTTCAGTGGGTTGATTTTTGTGTCGAGTATGTTAGGAAAGGTTTAGTAGAATTAAATTCAAGTGACCCTCCTTTATAAAAGATTGGCATGTCCGGTTCAAAACAGAACTCTTTATAAAACAACATATTCTCCTCGTTTTTGATCTCACGAAGGGTTATAGGGTACCGTTGTGAATCAGGCGTGTCCCTGAAAACAACATATTCTCCTCGTTTTTGATCTCATGAAGGGTTAAAGGGTACCGTTGTAAATCGGATCACAGGAAATTGCGTTGACAATCCATTTAATGCGAAAGTTAATGTTTTTGTTTTCTAATCAGCCTCCATGGGAAACAGTTTCGTAAGAACATTCTCTTTACAGAACATATAGATCCTGAAAATATATCCGGATATCAGATCCGCAAAATATATTTGGAAATCAGATTTGGAAAATATATCCGGAAATCAGATCCGGAAATATATCCGGAAATCAGATTTGGAAAATATATCCGGAAATCAGATCCGGAAAATATATCCGGATATCAGATCCGCAAAATATATTTGGAAATCAGATCCTCAAAATATATCCGGAAATCAGATCGAAGAAAATATATCCTGAAAATATATCTGAAAAATAGATCCAGAAAAAAAATCCGAAAAATATATCCAGACAAAAAGATTCTGAAATTAGATCCAGAAAATATATCCAGAAAATACGTACGGAATTTGGATCCGGAAAATAGATCCGGAAAATAGATCCGGAAAATAGATCCTGAAAATAAATCCAGAAAATAGATCCAGAAAATAGATCTGGAAAATAGATCCAGAAAAAAATCAAGTAAATCGAATCGGAAAATAGTTCCAGATAATATATAAGGAAAATAAATCCGGTAAAAAGATCTAAAAAAGATCTGGAAAATTTATCCGGAAAATAAATCCAGAAAATAGACCCGGAAAATATATCCGACAAATAGATTTGAAAAATAGACCCCGAAAAAGATCTGGAAAAAAATACTTCTAATTTAGGCAAATGATGTGAAGAACATTGAACTAACGAGGTTTAGTCATAGACCTAAATTAGTAATCATCGTATCCTCAATACCTCAAGAACCTAATCTTAGAATAGGAAAGTGTGTTTTCATATCAATTATTTAAAGAGGGACTCTCAATCATCAAATCTTGTCAAATACCACATAATTTAAAATAATTTCGGTTTTCAACCAAAAAATCTTTTATGGACCCTAAGAATCAAACGTTTTTTCAAAAAATTTTAAAAGTTAATAAATCTTATGGTTTTTTAACAATCTTTTAATGTTTCTAAAAAAAACTTATATAAAAACAACATGTAAGTAGATAAATTTTATGTATTTTTGAACAAAAAATCTTTTATTACGCCAAAAGAAACTATAATCTTTAAAAAAAAAATTACAAGTTAGTTCATAAATTTTATTTGTTTTTAAACAGGATGGCACTGGGCACTTATCTCAACTGTAACCGAAGAAGTGAAATACAGGTATGATCGCATAATAAACCCTTCTAGACTGTTGTTCTCAATTTCATCATTTTTGGACCGTTAAATTTTCGCGGATTTTAATCTGTTTAGATTGGCGCTATTTTTAAAATAACTAGGTTTTTAGGGCGCTTCGCGCCCATCTTCTATTTAAATTGTGAACATGTTCTTTTTGTTTACATTTTGAAACAAAGAAGAAAAAAAATTTTGCGGATTAAAAAAAAAATTCGCGGATTTTCAAGAATTCAAATTTTTTACAAAATTAAAAACCTTTAAAACAATTTTTTTTATCATTTATAAACCTTCCCTGTGGTCACGTGATGTCCCACAAAAAATGTGGGCCCGATCGGTTCAGCCGTTTTGACGTTTATTGGATACAAACAAACAAACAAACACCAAGACAAGCTAAATTTATATATAGATAGATAAACAGTATGTGTTTGTAATAATTAGTTGATATTTTTTATTATATGTTAATATAATCTAGAAACATTCCAGGAATGCCAATGGTCATTTTTTCAAAGGAATTTGGTCCAACTCGTTATCAACATTGTTAATGAAAAAAGTTCCTCCTTTTTCATCGGATCCCCCATTCAGGTATTTTATTGCGGCTTCCATCTTTATATTGTTTGTTGCTAATTGTAGTATTTCTAAAACTATTAATTGAAAATTTTGTATCTTTTATAGCCAGAGCTATTTGTAGGAAAATTATTGATAAAAAATGCAACTTATCAAATTAAACGTTTTTATCTATATTTCGTTAAGCCCATTAAAGCAAATTGCTTTCACCTTACAATCTTAAGTGAGTCCCCTAAATCTGTGTAATAGTAAGACGACTGATGGACTGCTGTTTATTTTCAAGCCAATGCACCGGTGAAAACTGTATGCATGATACCAACATATATATATACCACACAAAAGATTGATTTTTTCGTCTTCTTCGTCCAAAATTTTCTGATTTTTACTTTATATTTGATATGTTTAGGGTTACATGGAATATATATATGCCCAGATTTGAATTATCAGATGGAAAGGCTGATGTGAGAACAAGTGAAGGATATTATCTACAAACATTTATAGGTGTGGTTTAGTCATCATCATGTGTAATCTTGCCAGGCTACACTTGTTGCATAAAACGTGCTAGGTCGACTTTACTCTGGGTATAGTCCAGACAGGCTAGTAGGACTGAATGCATATATAGAGTACATGTTGTAAAACCGGCTTGGATCATGGCATGCTATCCAGAGTTGGCAAGCTTTTGTATAAATATTAAATGTGCATGTCTAGGGATACAAAAAGTATTATTGAGTGAATTGATTTAGTCATGGCAAAACACGAAAGGTGTGTGTTAGCTAAAGGGTGGACACGAAAAAATCTGCCTTTTTACTTTTATGGCCTCTAACAAAAAGCTTTTAAACAAAATCTATTAAAAAATTGGTGAAATTTTTAGTACATATACTAGGAAAGGAAATGAAACATTCCTGCAAAGCGCTACAAACTGCTAGCAAATCCAAAAAAGTTTACAAAAGTACTCTCAGCTTTAGATAATCCGGTTCATCAAAAATATTGACAAGGAACCTCTTTAACATTTTCAAATGATTAAGTGAAAATAAATAATGCAATTGTACCCTTAGAGCAACTTTTTCAAGGATCTCTTCTGTTCCTTCATTTTGTTTCTCTTTTTTGTTCCCTTGGGCTGTTCTTTTGCTTATTTAAATGAATCATGAATTCTTTAAACTTTATTGTTCTCTGCTAAAAATAATTTGTGTGAAGTTTTGTAATGGGAGTTTGGAAACTTAAACCGAATTATTCTATTAATGTGATATGATTTAGCTGGCATGCAGGGTATCATGAAGTATACCATTATAAATTGCTCGTGAGGACACATTTGAAATCAGAATTTATTTAATCTCTTCCCTTTTACATGTACTAATTTCATGTCCAATTTAAAGATTAAATTTGTTCAATTATCAATAGTTTAAGGACAAAAACTTAAAACATAGGTTTTTTTCGTTTCCACCCTATACACACTTTTGGATTGTCATTATTTAAATTGGTTTAAAATTTTTTATCCTATTTGACAATATGTCTTATTTTTTTACCTTTTGATGCTTGGTTAGAAAAGTTTTTTCAATAATTAGCAAAGAGAAAAAATTGAAAGCGCAGGCTTTAGTCTTGCCATATTCTAGCCTAGGATAGTTGCATCAAATATAGTATGCCATTTCTAATAAAAGTTTACACTGAAAAAACAAGTGATCTAGCTTCGTAAAATTATAAACCCTCAACAGGCTGGGAAGGGGGGGGGGAGGATTCTTTTTAAATTTATGCAGAATTACTGGTACGACCTCTACACACATTTTGGCTGCAAACTCAAGGATTTACAATCTTTTTGATTAACAACTGAACCTTCAGATAAAGAAATCTTACGGAACATAAATTTCATTAATCATAACAAGGGAAGGATTCATCGTGTTACCCACATATGATGAGACTGTAGATAAACGACTTGAAACGTTAAAGATATAACGATACCAAGGTTAAATTAAGCTTTCTGGAGCTAGGATAAAGTCATGAAATGGGTGATTAAATTATTTCGCAAAGAACGACACAATTTTACAGTTGCCGAAAATAATGAATATGAGGAATTAGACAGTAAAAATTTCGTCTCTGAAGTCTCATCTTTTGTGGGTAACTCTGTCTTTAGTCTGTAAGTGTACTGTACAGCTTGCTCTTGCTGCAATTGAAGTCGGTCTGGTACTTGAAAGGAACCTGAGTTTACTTTGTGGCGTAAAACATTATATTTTTCATTTGTAAAGTACTCGGCAGCTCTTCTCTACACCCTTAAAGTTGTTCAATGTTTAGAGAGAAGAAAGCTAAATGTTGAATATTTGTACATGAACGGAGCCTTTGGAGCAGCTGATAGGAAAACAGGGATATGGAACGGAGCTGTAGGGGTGGTAGGTTCAAACATAATCGTCTAAAAATACCCCCACCCCCCTTCTTATGTCCCTTTTCTCATCATGAAATGATCTGTATTTTCCTAAACATGAAATATATGAAGGTATGTTCCTAATAATGAAATCCCCTGTATGTCCCCAATAATAAAACCCCCTGTATGTCCCCAATAATAAAAACCCCTGTATGTCCCTAATAATAAAAACCCCTGTATGTCCCAAATAATAAAAACCCCTGTATGTCCCAAATAATAGAATCTGAATGTGCAGGTCGGATATGGCGAAGCAGAGTTGGGGGTTTCTTTTATTGGCTATACAATTGAAAGGTTAGCAATCGATAAAAATGGAGTCAGTAATTTACTTGTAACAAAACTGAAATTAGCTCATCCCTATATCTTTACATCCTCATCTTGTAAACCTTTGATAACTCAAACTTAGATTATTTGATATAATCAGAAATTATTAATTGACAAATCTTAGGTTCACAAAATCGAGTTTAAAAATTCGGAGTTTGTGGCAAAGACTCTGTTCCTTTGTAGAGGATGCAGAAGAGCTAGTTGTAGTACCAAATCTAATAAAATTCTTAGATTGAATTTTGAGAATTTAGAAATTTATCACATAACTTATTTAATTGTTTGGACTTTAGCTACGCTCGGAAGGATAAACGCCGGGTTTAAATAAATACTTTATTACTAACTTAAATTTACTTTATCAATTTAAGAAATCAAAAAATATGTCTATTCATGGTGACGTGGCAGATCTGAGTTCTTCTTGCCGCATCTCTCTATCCGGTTTAAACTTGGATCGTCTTCCGCCACATTACTCCCCCCAAGAAGGAACGGCGGAGTCAAGGCGGAGCAGGAACTTCTTCCCCTAGCCTGTCTGTGCGGGTTTCTTCTCAGCATAACTGTAGGTTTGTTGAGGAAAGTCACAGATTTCTTCTTGGAGGCGGAAGAGTTCACGGCGGAGGATGGCTCAGGAGGATGTCTTGCTGGGTGAAGAGGAGGACGTCCACGAGGCGGAGGATCAGCTGGAACCACAGGGGAGTCCGAGAACACTGGCTTAAGACGATCAATCGAGACAGAGTCCACCTTGTTACCAATCTGGAGGCGGAAGAACTTGTTCCGCCGCTCTAAAACCAAGTAAGGACCACGGTATAGAGGAGCAAGAGAAGGTTTACTGGCGTCTTCTCTTACAAACACGAACCTAGCAGTTGTAAGAGAGGCTGGAACTTCAGCTGGAGGCTGCTGTGGAACGTGATGAGGCGGAGGAACGGAGAAACCGGATATAACCTTCCCTATCTTACTGATGAACTGAGAACTTGGAATTTCTGGACCATCCAAAAACTCTCCTGGAATTGTTAAGGCGGAGCCGTAGACTGCCTCAGAAACAGAGAACCCTGTGTCTTCTTTTGGAACGGAGCGGAGTCCAAGCAAAACCAGAGGAAGGTGTGAAACCCAGTTGGAGTTAGCAGCTCTGGCCCGGAGAGAAGACTTCAGAGATCGATGGAAACGTTCAATCATACCGTTTGATTGAGGGTGAAAACTCGTCGTCTGTGTGGTTGAGATTCCCAGAGAAGGACAGACTCCGGTCCAGACGGAAGAGGTGAACTGTGCGCCTCTGTCGGAGGTCAGGGTTGAAGGAACACCAAATCTCAAATCCAGGTTGAGATAAAAGCTTTAACACAAACCTCAGTAGAAATTGATGATAAAGGAACTGCTTCCGGCCAACGAGTAGTCCTGTAAATCATGGTTAGGATGTAAGAACAATCCTGACTCGAGGGTAGAGGTCCAACAATATCAATGTGAACATGAGAAAACCGTCTGGAAGGAACTGGGATAGCAGGAACAGAAGATTTCACATGAGTTTGAACCTTACTCCGTTGGCACTGGAGGCAAGCTCTGGACCATACTCCGACATCTCGAGACAAACCAGGCCAAACGAACCGTGCAGAAATTAATCTCCGAGACCCTCTGACACCAGGATGAGATACGTTGTGGAGAGCTAGGAAGAGAGGTTTACGGAGAACCTCTGGAACTAGAGGTCTGAGGGACCCTGTAGAATTATCACAAATTAAATCTCCGGAACCCAGAGTCACATTCACTATAGAGAGCCAGGGTAACTTCCTCATAACTTGAATCGAAGGACAGGTTTTTTGAAGCAATAATATTCGAGAAAAATCAAAACCTGGAACTGAAAACTCTTGAGAGTTTGATTGATTGATAGAAGTTGAGGATGGGAGAAAATCTTGAGAGTTTGATTGATTGATAGAAGTTGATGGCGGTACCTCCGACACCGCCCACACCGCCGAAAACGGATCTCGGGTAGGAGGATCTGGAGCATGAGGTGGAGATGACTTGGAGGTTTGGAGCAGGTGTGAATCTCGGAGAGGTGGATCTGGAGCATGACGTGGATCTCGTAGAGGTGGGTCTGGAGCATGACGTGGAGATTGGAGCAGGGACGGAGATGCTGGAGCTGGAGAACCAGGTGGTACAACTGGAGAGGGAACGACAGGTGGAGAAAGGCTGGGACGAGAAAGGGCGTCAGCTACAATATCCTCCAGGCCTGGCAGATGCACAATTGAACTTGTGAACTCCGCAATATAAGCCAGGTGTCTCTGTTGACGAGCAGACCAGGGCGGAGAACTCCTGAACAAAGCTGAGGTTAGAGGTTTGTGATCAGTGAATAACAAAAATTCTCTGCCTTCTAGCATGAAGCGGAAGTGCCTGATAGATAGATAAGCAGCCAGGAGTTCTCTGTCAAAAGCGGAGTACTTCTTCTCGGTCTCCGAAAGTTTCCTTGAGAAAAAGGACAACGGAACCCAGGCATCATCGATCCTCTGCTGCAACACGGCCCCCACATGAGAGTCTGAAGCATCAACTGCTAAGGAAATCGGAGCTGATGGTCTAGGATGAGAGAGCTCTGGAACCTTGATGAGAAGATCCTTGGCATGACGGAAAGCAGCGTCGAGGATAGGAGTCCGGGTGAGAGATTTGCCAGAACCTTTCAGAGCATCTGTAAGTGGGGCAAGAACTCTGGCCGCTCCCCGGAGAAATTTCCTGTAAAAGTTCACCATGCCCAGGAACCTCTGTAGAGCAGGTTTGTCAGCAGGAACAGGAAAATCTGAGATCGCTGCAGTATGCTTGACCAGGGGAGAACATCCATGAGCAGAAAGCTTATGACCCAGGAACTCTAACTCAGGCACGGCGAACTCACACTTGGGCAAACCAATCGTTAAACCATGCTGACGACAAAGGAGGAGAACCTGACGAAGATGATCTACGTGCTCTTTTAAACTGCTGCTAAAAACCAGGATATCGTCGATGTAGGTGAAGCAGTAAGGGAGGTCTCCAAGGATAGAGTCCATCATCCTCTGGAAGGTGTTCCCCGCGTTCCTGAGGCCAAAAGGAAGATGCAGGAACTCGAAAATCCCGAATGGAGTGATGATCGCTGTCTTACAGATATCTTCTTCAGCCATAGGAACCTGGTAATATCCCTTCTGAAGATCTAACTTAGAAAAGATGGTTGAACCTGTGACTCTAGAGGTGAAATCAGCAATATTAGGTAAAGGGTACCGATCAGGAACTGTAACCGTGTTCAATCGTCTGTAATCACCACAAGGACGCCGTCGGACAAGACCACATCTGGAAATTCTGCAAGGAGGTCGGTGATACACTGAGGAGTGGCGAGAAAGTTGGCTGTGAATGGGGCAGGCTTGGAATCTGGAGAGGTTGGCAAGACGATGGATGGAGAAGTCGGAGAATCAGCACTGAAAACCCTCTGATTGGATACATCGAGCAGGAGGTTGTAGTGCTTCAGAAAATCTGCACCCAGGATTGGAACAGCTACAGGAGCTAGTTGAAACGGCCACTCGAACCTCTGACTCCCGAATCGTAGAGGAATGACTCGAGAACCAGAACATGATAGAGAGGAACCATCCGCTGTTAATAATTTCACTCCTGAATCTCCTCCTGAGGATCCTGGATCAGGAAAAACTGAGACAGAGGCGCCAGAATCGATGAGAAATCTCCTTGAGCTCAGAGAGTCCTGCAGATAGATGAGAGGAGACGAGGTAGAAGGCCCGGCAGGGAGGGTACGAACATCCTCCTGCCAGTAAACTAGTTTCCCGACCAGGAACATGGAGCTCTACACTTCTTAGCCTTAGTTCCCCAGGTACGATGATAGTAGCACGGAGACGGACGTGCTTGGACGTTATCACTGTCCTTAGGCATTTCGAACGATTCACTTGACGAGCGTGTAGTTATAAAAGTCTATAATGGCACGGGAAAACAGTCTATTTACGCTATTTAGTACACTGGACAGGGCAAGTGAAACTTACTCCTTGTCATTTCCATCCTTGCCTATAGTTTCGAACTAGGGGTCACCAATTTAGCTACGCTCGGAAGGATAAACGCCGGGTTTAAATAAATACTTTATTACTGACTAAATTTACTTTATCAATTTAAGAAATCAAAAAATATGTCTATTCATGGTGACATGGCAGATCTGAGTTCTTCTTGCCGCGTCTCTCTATCCGGTTTAAACTTGGATCGTCTTCCGCCACAGGACTCACTGAGAATTTCCCCTTTAGAACCTCTAAAAACGAATTCTAAAATTGCTTTGGTAAAAAAAAATGAAAACTGGATATTAAAATTGTCATACATATCTAAAACGACTTTTACATTATAAAGAGACCGATATTAAATTAAGTTACACTTTGTAAATTGATTTTTTTCGTTAGAGTTTTTTGTCAAAACGAATTTTGACAAAAAAAACTGCAGTTCAATGCTCACGTTCTATTTTTGGATTACAAATTTTAGGATGAATTTTGCTTTGTATTCAACCCCGGTTGGAGAATTCTCTATAAAATGGGTTTCAAAGGTAAAGGAATTGAGTTTTTCCCACAAACTTGAATTTTCTAATCCCAATATTTTTGCATCCTGATAATTTTCAACTTTTATATTTCAAATAAAATTACTCGATCTAACAGAATTCAGAGTTTGAAATATCCAAGGTTCACGATATTGAGTTGCAGAGATATAGGAATTGGAAAATCAGAAATCATGGGAAAGACTCAATTCCTCTAAAAAAAAAATTTATATTAAAGATTTTTTATTTTCAGTATCCCGGCCGTGTTGGGTCTAGGTATAACCTAGCAGAGGTAATATCTAGAATATGTTAAAGAGGAACTAAACACGTAGTTTAAGTGACCCAACAATTTTAGATTGTTATGCTAGATTATCAAATACAGGTTTATCTGAGGAAGACTGTAAAATTGGCAATCTAAAAATTTAAAAATCTAAAAATAGGGTTGAAATTAATTATTTATGCTTTATATCTCTGCTTTAATCTAAAAGAGTTCCGTTGCTGAAGTTAAGAACAATTGTTTCGCCCTCTGATCAATTATCTATTTTCTAAATAAGGTATTTGATGTAAATACTTGGATTGCTACAGTGTGCAGGTGAAACGTGAATTTTCATTTAGAAAAAAAATTATTTCTGGACAACACGTTTTCGCACAGACAAATTTTGTTACCTAGAACGAATAATATTCAAAATTGTGCTAGCTTTCACGTAAAAAATTCGAATTAAGGGTGCTGGGACATTTTACAGAAAGACATTTAAAAGACAAGAATACTTCATAGACATTTCTGAGAGAAGTCCCACCTACAAAATTTCCTTCTTATCTTTGACTTTCTGTTTCTATTAAACTAGGCTTTTAGGGCGCTTCGCGCCTATTTTCTATTTTAATTTTAAACATGTTTTCTTTGCAGACATGGTAAAATACTAAAGATAAAAAAATTGCGGATTTTTAAAAAAATTTGGTGGAATTTGAAAAATCTAATTTTGTTATTACTTTTTAATTCGATCATCCCTAAACCTTCCCTGGGGTCACGTGAGGTCCCACAAAAAAATGGGCCCAATCGGCTAAGTCGTTTTGACGTTTATTGGATACAAACAAACAGACGGAAATCCAAACAAACAGACACCCAAGCAAAGTATATATATAGCTATACGTCGTATATAAAATGTCCCGTCTATGAAATGTCCTGTCTATGACAACTTCTTTCTATGAAATGTCCTGTCTATGAAATGTCCTGTTTATGAAATGTCATGTCTATGAATTGTCCTGTCTATGAAATGTCCTGTCTATATAATGTCCTGTCTATGAAATGTCCTGTCTATGAAATGTCCTGTCTATGAAATGTCCTGTCTATGAAATGTCCTGTCTATGAAAACTTCTTGCTTCAAAACCAAGAAGAATTGATGTACCTTATGTCGTCTTAACTGTAATGATATTTACGACGACGACTGAAATAAAAAATATTAATTCTGGATTTTAGCATTGTAGGTAGTTCTTTAGTCTTGGTGTTTTTGGTACAAGTAAGAAAATGGCAGGGATTTCGTCCAAAGGTTTGAGAGAGCCAGACATTCCTGACCGAACAGAAATATGAAAATATTTTGTTTAGCAAGACAATGTTCTTATTCTTCTAACTCCAATGTCTCTGATAACAAATAATGGGGCTCCTGAACCTGACTTGTTTGCTACGAAGACAGGAAGAGGTTCGTTCATTTATTTAAGTGAGCAGTATTCGCATCAAACTCGAATTTTATTTGATACTAAAAGGTTTGAATTTAATGAATTTGACATTAATCGAATGTGAGCATTCTACTCGTGGTTTAAAGAAAATAGTCTTCTTAAAGCTTTTCTGAATAAAAAATGTTTATTACAAAAAAAGAAAATAATGTAGCTCCATTAAAGATAGTGCTTGCGAAAAATGAAAAGGGTGACCTGCGGGGTGACCTTATCCAAATTTTAATTCGATACCTACTTATATCTTTCGCGTTTGAAAGAAGGAAATGGTTAAAAACGCCTATTGATAAAAACAGATCAAAGTCCAATCAAACTCACATGGAAAATAATCTCATTGATCTGTTGTGTTCAAGGGAAGAGTTGAGGAAAACGATTAATTGATTGACAATGTTGTTTTTGTTGTTAAAAATCCATAAAATTTGAATGAATATTTAAAAAGTGTTGAATGACATAATGAAGTAGTAAAATTACCAAAGATCTATTCGGATTCAATCACACTTTTTAATTTTTTGCGAACACTCCCTTTGACATCACGTTTATGCCTTTTTTAAAGGGAGTGTTCGCGAAAAATGAAAGGGGGTATAGGCTTAATGCTTTTGATCGCAACTAATCTTACCTCTATCGGTTGCGTCTATAAGGAGAAAATTCAGAAAGATGCAACATTCAACTCGGATCGTAAACAAAACAATTTCATTCCAAACAAATCATTCAGATATTACAAACCATAGTCATCGATTATTTTTCGACGCATTCGTAAATAGTTGTTATTTCATAATGTTTTGTATTTTTCATGATCTGAGAGTTACTTTTGAAAACATTTAATCCTGTTTCGAGGATTTTTGATAATGAAGACGACATTTTCATATTTTCCAGGAATGTTCGAAAATCCAGCGCCAGCAAAAATTATTTAAAAAAAAACAAAATCAAAAATATTATGAAATATTAACTATATATGACTGCGTCGAAAAATTATCGATGACTACTTTTTGTAATATCTGAATGATTTGTTTGGAATTCAATTGATTTCTTTACGATCCGAGTTGAATGTTGCATCAAAAGCGCTTTTTTATCGCATTAAGCCTATACCCCCTTTCATTTTTCGCGAACACTCCCTTTAAGACTGCATTCAGTGTTTTTAAAGTTTCTGTTTATTAGTATTGTCTGGAAGCATTTTAATTCTGTTCTGGGCTTTAGTTTCATTTCTTCTTGTGAGTGCTTTTTCATGTAATCTCAGGTAAACTAAATATTTATTATTACATTAATCTCATTTAAATATGGTAAAAGACATAATCAAAATATATTGCACATTATTTGTAAATTATAAGCATTATTTTGCTCTGCATTTTTACATTTTTTAAAAGACATAGTGCAAAACATAAACAAATTGTGTTATATATATAATTTGTAAACTAGGGAAAAGCTAAAATATAATAAAGCTCTCAAATATAATAAAATTACGTTTATATATTCTTCCAGCGCCGTATTAATGCGACCTACATTTGAGGCCCCAATAGAGTCATCCCAGCAAATTGTTGAACAGAAAAAGGTAAGTTTAATGAATGGATGACTTTCTGCCTAATTTCAACTTTTAATGTTATATTACACAAAGATTACAAAAGAAACATTTGTTTAAAGGCTTCATTTTCATTTGCCATACACCACCCTTGCAGTGCCATATCAGGTCCCACACAAATTTGAGGCCCAGCAAGTTTAAAGGTTTTTACGAATTGTGGAAAGACACAATTTAAAAAAAAATTTAAAAGATCCAATTATTCTAGCCAAACCCCATCCTCGTAGGTGATAATTTCGTCCATCAGGGGTTATATTCCCTACATTCTTGGTTTCTCATCAAATCCTTGGGATAAGATACTGCTGGAGACAAATAAACAAGAGGTAACAGTGTAACAACCCGAATCCTAATTTATCAATTATTATTTTAGTCGTTGGATAATTTTATGTGCATGTTATGTATATGGAGAAATTGACGGAGCGATAAGTTCAGTAAATTTTCAGAATTGGAAAAAAATATGATGGATGACTGGTATTCTCGGTCAGTGTAAAGAGTTGGGAAGAAATGTTAATGTAACGAAAATATCGTCTTAGTTATCAAAAAACCTCAAAATTTTTAATTTGAATGAATAATTTAAAAGTTAGCCTCGCACGTATTTTAACCCCCCTTTCATTTTTCGTGAACACTCCCTTTAAATATAATTTTTAAACCTCTTGCTAAATAATTCAGCTGGAAATTTCCCCCTTCTGGCATTTCGTCCGTTCCCAAATCTGATAGAAAAAAGCGTAAAGACTAAAAATTGATATGATAACTATAAAAATCATTACAAAATTGTCCTCAAACACCACAGATAAATAAATGAACACCCTGAACCCAAAGCTAAATCAGGGGTTAGATTAAAGGGAGTGACCGGCTATGTAAGGTAGTTGAACTGAGTATGCAGTGTTGTGGAAAACTTCTTTCGGATTCATTTGAGACATATTAAACTTTTTAAAGATCTGTAAATCCTGAGTTTAGGAAAATTCGACGTTCAAAACTTCTACTTTGGGGGTTGATACGTTTTCAGAATTAGTTTTTATAGATTATGAAATAACGACGACATAAAATGTAAAAAAGTTCTACATTAAACTTCAGAGTACAGACGTCATGTATAGGAACATGTTGAGAAAACAAAAATTAATCTTATCATCGAAAATAAGTAATTTTGTTCAATTATTAGTTTCTATTTTCTCATTTTTCTGGTTTCTCATTATTCACAAAGATTTTCGCAGATTTTCTAGAATTATTGTTGAAAAGACGACATTTAAAGAATTTGAAGAAATCGGCGAATAAATTCAAAGAAGATAAGAAATTGATTAAAATAATGAAAACGAAATAATCGATTTTAGCATTCATTTATTGACAATTTTTTTTTGAGAAATATGTTCCTAATCATCTAATTAGATTACTGTATAATTTTTACTTAATTTTTCGTTGTCGTTTTTTAATAATTAAAAAAAGCTAATTCTGAAAGCGTATCCACCCCCAAAGTAGGAGTTTTGAACGTCGAATTTTCGCTCAAACTCAGCATTTACAGATCTGTAAAAAGTTTAATATGTCTCAAATGAATCCGAAAGAAGTTTTCCACAACACTGCACACTCAGTTCAACTACCTAACATAGCTGGTCACTCCCTTTAAATATCATTTAAACTTGGAATAAATTCAATTGTTTAAAAATTTTCTGAATTAAAAAACGTCGGTGAATATCTAAAAATGTGTTTTTCAGTTGATTTTAACCCCGGGATTCAACGATGTTTTGAGAAACATACAAAAAGATCAAGTGTTCTATCTTGGAGAGGTAACAGAAGAATAAAAATGTTAAAGAATATTGTCTGAACTTTCAAATATGATTTTTTAGGACTTTGCTCTTCATTTGACTAAGCTACAGGGCAGAAAGTCTCCCCTTCTTTATTTTGGAAAGGTATTTTTTTTTAAGGAAACTTGCACAGAAGCAAGTTTTTCCCAAATAATTAAGATCTGAACTTCAAGGTTCAAATTAATGATTAATTGATGATGTTAGTAAATTCAAGGAAAGGTTGGATTTGGATACCAAACAAACTAAGCTTAAAAATTCAGCGATTGAACTCGTTATCCACTTGCAGAGATAGGCTTTAAAGATGTCTTAATATTCCTAGGTCTTAACTCGGGGAATATCCCTAGGTCTTAAATCTGGGAATATCCCTAGGTCTTAAATCCGGGAATATCCCTAGGTCTTAAATCCGGGAATATCCATAGGTCTTAAATCCGGGTATATCCCTACGTCTTAAATCCGGGAATATCCCTAGGTCTTAAATCCGGGAATATCCCTACGTCTTAAATCCGGGAATATCCCTAGGTCTTAAATCCGGGTATATCCCTAGGTCTTAAATCCGGGAATATTCCTAGGTCTTAAATCCGGGAATATTCCTAGGTCTTAAATCCGGGAATATTTCTAGGTCTTAAATTCGGGAATATCCCTAGGTCTTAAATCCAGGAATATTTCTAGGTCTTAAATTCGGGAATATCCCTAGGTCTTAAATCCGGGAATATTCCTAGGTCTTAAATCCGGGAATATCCCTAGATCTTAAATTCGGAATCCCTAAGACGGCATTTTCCAGTTATTACAGAGGTTTAGCCAACATTTGAAGATCTCTGGCTAAGCAGCTTGAGATCCAAGTGCTAAGCAACATACAGCAATATAATTGTGTGATATGTTGTAATCAGTAATTAATGTTTTTTTTCATTTCTGTTCTTAGCTCATAAACCCCTTGACTGATTTCCCACGAACCTTTATCGAGGAACTCAGTAGAACCACACAAATATTCTTAGTTGGTTTGGTTAGCTTTTTTGGTAAAACTCCAATCATAGCTGGGTTCCCTGGCTAAAAATTATTATCAAGCGAAACAAAAATTATCTTTGTTGATTTCTTCTATTGGAAATGAAGAAAACATTTCCAAATAAAAATTCTTTGGGGGACGTTTTTCATGAAAAGTATTACCTAAATGGAAAGTTATTGTCTAAAATGGTAAATTTTATTATATTTTATCAGGAAACTATAAGACCTTATTATACTGGATGGATAATGGAGAATGGATCAAGATGGGAGAAAGATGTAAATATGCATATTATGCAATGTAATCAGGTCAAATTTTCGTTAGTCATGTTCGAAATTGTTTGAATTTTTTGCGACCTTACTTACATTAAAAAAAGAGAAAATCTAATGACTGGCCTAAGGTTGGCTTTAAAGGGACTGTAAGCGTAATTTCATTTGACTTTCTATACAATGATACAAAGATGACCATGCCTGATTCACAGCGGAACCATTTAAAGCTTTGTCTTATCAAGTATGAATTATATATCAATGTTTATAATTTTAAAAAAATTATTATTTTCAATTGTGACTTCTCAACAAAATTTACTACAACATTTCTACTGCAGAAAAAAATGTAGGCATTTTGAAATATTGTAATACGAAAATTTCTTTACATTAATGAACAGATAAAGGTGTCAAGGGTAACGTTTGTGAATCAGACATTGCCATCTTTGATTAGAGGGTGACTAGAAATTTCGCTTACAGTCCCTTTCCTGTTTTCAATGTTTTTTATTTTCTTTTGTAATGTTATAAAAAAAGATATTTCATGAACATTAATAAAATCTTTGACTGTCTTCTTTTCTTAGAATGAGAATTCTAAAATATAAAATGCCAGTTCCAAAATTTAGCAAAACTACAATATTTAGCCCACAGTAAATGATTATATATTCTTTTACTCATGACATTAAAAAATATTTTTAAACCGCCAAAAGTTTTCATTTTTCACTCTTCTGTATTTTTAGGCCGGTTTTGATGTTAAATTAGCAAGAGAACTTGAACCTCCAAAATATCTGTTTGAAGCTTCAGAGGTCAAACTTTCATGATAAAAATTTATGCTTCTTTAAGATTTTATGAAATTGTATAAATTACTTGACATGAATTGCCCTTTACGGACCCAGAAAAGTTTTTTCTTTCAGAAACACTGAATGAAAATAAAATCACTGGATTCCTATTTTGTCTATATGGTTTATCTCTAGTTTTGAGGCATACTATTCTTAAAATTCTATTTTAAATTTGAAAAAAACCTCGATTAATATGAATGCAATGAATGAAAGCAATTCATTTTACCAGTCATCAATGATCTTAAGATTACAAACTCTCGTGCAAAAATCAATGAAATTTATTCTGATTACTTCTTAAAACAAAGCATGGAGATTGGAAGGTCAATTGAAATTATGCTTACAGTTTTTTAATCCACCTGAACCTATTGTTTACTAACTAAAATTTATTTTAGGAAAGTTTAACTCTAGAACACCTGGTCGTTCCCCTCTACCTACTAGGTGGTGGAGGAGTTATTTCAATACTAGGAAATTTATAATTATGATAAATCTTTAACCCTATTCATGCTGGGGGGAGGGGGGTTCGGTTGAAATTTGACCCCCCCCCCCTGCAGTTTTTGTTTACATAAATCAAAAAGTATCGGTCTGAAGCTGTTGAAATTTTCTGAGTTTTCCTAAATACCCAAAGCCCTCTCTTTAGGTCTAAAGCCGGGCTTTTATACTTTCTGCCTGAGTCCTCTCCTCAGGCACACTGCCTGAATGACTACTTTTTCCTGTAACTTACTAAATATTTGTTTTGAACCACTTTTGACCACAAATTATTTGCATACAACCCGTCAAAAGAAGTTTCCACAATTTTAATTACACATTAAAGGGACAGTAAAGGAAAAATGAAAGGGGGTATAGGCTGAAAGCTAATCACTTTAGCTCTCGATCGCGACCCATGAAAGTTATATGTTCCTGTCTCGAGAAATTGATATAAAACTGTGTCAAATATATACGAAAATTAATATATATACAATTTTGTATAAAAGTAGTAGGTTTTAACAGATCATATTCAGCAAATAAGCAGCCAATCTGAAAACGATGATATTCCAGAGAAAGCTAATTGTAATTTAGGTTTACTTTTATATTTGTTGTTTCTATTTTCAATAGATTTCATTCATAATATTATTTTTACGTCCGTATTACTTGACCAGAAATTCCATCAATGGCAGTGCAGTAAAGTGGTCACGTGATACAGGCGGAGACACGTGACCAGTATACTGCTCTGCCATTGGTGATAGTTCTGGTCACGTGATTTTAGCTAAAGTGATTAGCTTTCAGCCTATACCCCCTTTCATTTTTCCTTTACTGTCCCTTTAATTAATTAATTAATTAATTACACATCTGTTTATTTAAAATTTTGCAAAGACTTTTGCATATTTAAAATGGCATTGTCCAGGGCTTTTCAGAAATGTTTATTTTACCATTTTTTGATCATTTTTATTTTGCAAAACTTTTTATTTAATAACTGAATTTTGCAAAAAAAATCAATTTTTGCAGATTTGGAAATTTGTTTCAAGATTCCAGAAGTAGAGCATAAGAGCTTTTTAATGATGTATCATTTTTCATATTAAGACATCAAACATGGAATTTAGAGGGCCTGGTCAAATTGACCCTCCCCCATGGTGATCAAATATGCGATCAAAAATGAAAATATTTTTACTGCCAAACTTTTTTCTGTTTATTAAAATATGAAAACAGTTTAAATATTGCACTCACATTGTAATAAATTTTATGGAATCGCATATTTTGATAGAAATAATTCAAAAAGAGGAAAAATACAAATTAACAGAATTATTCAATACTCTTTTTATAAAATTTTAAATTTATTGGTTTTTGCAATTTTTAAATAATATATAACATTTAATTTTTACAGTGTATTGATAATAACTTTTAAAATTAAAGTTGAAATTAATTATAAAATGGTCATTGCAGTGCTTATCCTGGAAATCCTGTGGAATAGATGTTTTATTTAAAAAAAAACTTTGTTAACTTGCTTGGAAGCAGAATAAACAATAAAACATGATGATTTTCCTTGTTTTTCAAATTGCTAAAAAAGAGAAAAGGAATTGAATTTCTTAAAACGATCGTATCGCTTTTAAAAAAATGACGGGCCACAAAGACCAAACCATTCGTTTTTTACTTCTAAAAAACGAAAAAGTATCATTTTTAAACGATCATTTTTGAAAACATTTTCGCCAATGAATCTGTTTTTTATATCAAGAGAGATAACCTGAATGTTTTCTGAACCAAGGTTTTTCTGACCAAAAATGTATTTTGTCTAAAATAAGGCCGTTAACGGTCATTAATAAAGGGTCGTCATTAATGATCGTTCAAGATCGTAAAAATTAAAACCTTCGTTAACGAAACGACAAACTAAAACTAAAAACAACTTCTTCGTTTTTTCATTTAAATTTAAAAACTATCTTTTTTAAGAACGATCATTTTTAAAAACGACCATTTTTTAGTTTTTTCTTCTTCGTTTGAAAACGAAACGATTGTTTTCATGAAAATGAAAACAATTCATTCCTAGGTCTACGACATTGTGTTCCAAGGGATTGGAAAAGAATTCCTTTCAANCCCCCCCCCCCTATGGGGACATGAGATGATTTAAAAAATTGCTCTCGCCGCATTTTCATATTTTGAATTTATAAGAGATGATCAAATATGTTCATAGAAAAAGTTAACAATGTATTAGCACTAATAACAATTTTTTAACGAATAAAAACAGTTTTCCAATTATCTAAGAGCAAATTCAACGTGACTTGTCACTTAGTCTAGTGAAACCAGTCACAAAAGCATATAGATTTATCAAAATAGCTATTTATCTCTTCATTGTTTGAATTTATGTCGATATGCAGACAGGATGCACGTAGTTAGTAAAAGGGTGCAATAGATATAAGAGGGCATTTTACATTGTCGAGGCTTACCAAGTCCTTGTAAGTTTACAAACACCTTGATTTTAGCTAGGGATGCTTTGGAACCCAACAATGTTAGTATTTATATTGCATTCCAATTGCATCACATGAATGAAGAGATAAGTATTTTTTTTTCAACTTTGTCCTGTTCATATATATTGCAACTCTGAAAACAGGAAGGCAATATAACATTTGCAACCCTAGGAATGCAATATAGCATTGCATTCCTTAAAGCAAAGATGAAATGTTATATTGTCTGGTTTCAGGTAATTGTTCGTCAAATTGTTAATTGACGAAATTAACAATTATAATTTGAAAATTTATATTTTTTTAAGTTGAAAATCTTAAAACAAAAGAAAAAAAACGCTATATATGCAGTCATAACCAGTTAGAGTAGAATGAGTCTTTAAAGAGTATTTTGATTAAAAATGTTGAATAAAATTGTGTACTTTCAATCTAGAAAAAATGGCAACATAAGCATTAATTATAATGTGTATAAAGTGATTGGCTATGGAAGTGGTGTCAGGTATGAACGTTTTTATTTCATTTAAAACCAATAACATTCAAAACATTCAAAAAAACCTATTTACGTAAAACGTAATTTAACGATTAAAATTTTATCACTATCTTAACCATAAATATTTCCAGCAAAGAACATTGGGAAGGACTAAATAAAGATAAATGAGGATCATTTTCATTTCTTTGCATGTAATTAGATTAAAATCTTGAATTGTTTTAATTACTCCTCTAATTTACGTGCTATAAGGCATAAAAACAAAATGTTTAGAATTTCTTAAACGTAATTAAAGATATTTGCCTTTCTCATGCTGTGCGTCAAATTAAAACTTATAGAGAAGCTACAATTAATAATAAGGTCATGACAGAAATGTCGCATATCTTTAACCTTCTCCTTCTCTGTCTAGTTTTCAGTGGGTAGAAAGTAGGTACCCCCATGGCATCCATGTGTCTAAATGCAGTACGTTTTTTTGAAAATGGTGGACGTTTTTTCTTAATGGGGACAATTATCCGAAAATATGGCATCATCATGGCAAAAGGCTACATTTTGTTTGAATCAAAAAATAAATTAATACATGAGACACAAAAAAGAAGAGCAAAAAATAATTAAACAATTGAAAATTGCTTTTGCAAGAATTATGCAAACTACGTTTTGGACTCCTTAGCTCTTTGGAAAAAATTATATCCATTTCTCATCAGGGCTGGGCAAAGTTATATCACGAAACTGTTTTCGAAAATTAACAGTTAAGAGTCTTTTAATGAACGAAATTTTAAATTGTTAACGAAGTGGTTTAGCCTTTTAGCGATTGCAAACAAAAACGAAACAGAATGGATTTTTAAAAAACGGCAAATTTTGTTTTTTTTTCTGTTAAAATTTCATGAAACTAAAAAAAACATTGTTTATATTTTGATGTTTTTAAATTTATTTAATTACTAAATTTATATGATAAAAATTTTTAAGATTTTTTTTTTTGCAATTTTTTGATGGCTTTGACGTGAATCCAATTTGTTATTTTTTTAATGGACATTTTGGAGGTTTGGCAAATTGTTAACTGCATTAATACTACAAGCAACTGTTAACCGCTTGCGCCGTCAACGATTTGAAAAATCATTAACGAACATTTTTTCGGCTTTGCGCAATTTTTTGAATGGCTAAAGTCATTAATTGCAAAAAGCAACCAATAGCGACAGAAATTTTTTTAACGGTTTAAACTAACCGTTAACAAAACGAATAGAAAAAGTTAGTCTGTGTAAACGCCCATCCCTATTTCTTATTATAGTCGCACCAGATAGTAGTTAAATGCAGTAATTTATATCCATTAAATTCTGATTTATCAATTTTTCACTAATATATTCCTCTTGTCAAAATTTTCTTAAAGGGACTGTAAGGGAAATTTCTAATAACTCTAAATGCAAACATGGCTATGCCCACTTAACAACGGTACCCTTAAAAGCTTTGTCTGTTCAAGTATAAATAAGATGTCAAAAGTTTTTAATTTCAAATACTAATTATTTTCAATTGTGGTGTCTCTACAAAAGTTTCACATTTCTACAGCAGGAAAACATTTGGAAATTTTAAGAACTATAATATTTTTAAACCTAGACAAACGACAATATCTTCCACGTTATTGATTAGATAAATGTTACGAGGGTGCCATTGTGAACCAGATTACCATGCTTTGCATGGAAAATCATTCGAAATTACACTTACAGTCCCTTTAATGAAACACAATTTGTAGAGAAAAAAGTGTGGATTCTAGTGGTGTATGGAGTACTAGTTCTATCAGTTCCTGGTTATCCCACCAACTATAAATTTACTGTGGAGACAGGAGCAACTCTTACCAGTGTTGCAGCTTCTCATTTCTTCCAGGGATATTTCAACAGTTTACCAGTAAACAAACAGAATATAATATCTAGCAGTCTCATCATTCTATCCTATGTTACTGAATATCAAGTTTGTAGGAGTTATATTGCTGCCATAGTTCTGAACTTCCTACCGGACAAGGCCAGTTTTCTCCTATCTGAATACCCCACAATATGCTGGTTGACCATTGGCTTTAGACCGATAGCTTCAGTACTTGTGTTAAGCATTTTCTTAGTGGTTGCCTCTCGGTTATTTTTACATCTCCTGCCAGGTGAGTTTAAAGGAATTGAGTCTTTGTCACGAAATAAAATTTTCTATTCTCTTTATCTTTGCAACCTGATGGTGTTCAGCTTTGATATTTCAAACTTACATTATTTAATTTAACAGAATTCTTTGTTTTAAATATATAATGTCTTCAAAATTGGGTTGCAAAGATATAGGGGGATCAGAAAATCAGAGTTTGTGGCAAACAACAATTCCTTTATGTTAACATTTTTTTCCAATTTAAATATCTTTTAATCAAAGGGTTATGTTGTATAATGTACAATATAAGCAATACCAAACTATTTATATTAAGTTTGTGTAATACGAATAATGAACATTTATTGTTTAGGAAGATCCTCAAAATGTTTGTGATTTTCATGGTTTCTACAAATACAAGTATGGCGTGAACATTGAAAAAGTGGTGAATTGTGGTACATGTACAATCTACCTTGTTCCAGTCCTGTTAACAATATCTGCCATACTTGAAATCTTACGATTTGTGGTAGCCATACACAGAGAAATGAAGAAAAATAGAAGAATAGCTCCGGTCAGTCTGACCTGTCAAAATCCTGGACCTGACCAAGCCCAAACAACAAACATTCCTTCAGGATTGAATTCAAACCAATTATTAGCAACCTCAGAGCCTGCCAGAGATACACAAGAACAGCCACTTAACATTTTAGATCTCTCAGTACGCCAGTTAGAACTTCAAGAGGATTCAAACCACGTAATAGACCTAACAAATAAACCATGCTGTCACCAATGAGGACATAATACCAGTGCCAGATGCTGATACTGATGGGGTGATGATTTCAAACATAGCTAACCCGGGAGCATGTTTGCCAACTCAAGGAATTGTGGAAGGGACCATCCGTCAGAATTTGCAAGAAATTTCTGGATCTCACCAGTTAAGAGATAGCATTAAATCAATGTTGTTTCGTCCAGCAAGCTTCACCCTCTGTATGATAGTAATTATTGCTATTGCATTTGCTGGCGTATTCTACATAAAGGATCAAGAAACACTGGATATGGGTGACTTTGTTTTTATTGAGACATTATCCATTATCACTAGAATATTTGGGTTGTTTCTACCAGTTTTCCTGGTCCTTTCTGAAAACAAAATAACCGAATATACCAGACAAAAAATACAAATTCTATTTAGATATAGACAATAAATCGAATATTCTATTATGACTGACTTTTAAGACAATCAGATTTTAACCTTATCTTTAGCTTAACCCTATAACGGCTATGGCAATATGCTATACAGTTAAGATATAGTGTTGCAAAGCATGTTTATAGTCCAATTTAAGGGTTCATGGAAAACAAATTAATCCCTAACTTTATTGGTTCGAGTTCTTTACAGGAAGGTTTTAAAAAAAAGTCAAATAAAAGGTCGAAAAAATGTATATAGATTAAATTTTTTGTTTTTGAAAAATGAAAAAACATGTTACAAATGGTTTTACA